ATACCTAGATCTCGGATCTCTTCTGTAACTGTGAGAGGCAAACCATCAAGCTCATAATCAAAGAGAAAAGGGGTCACGCTTACGTGTGAAACGAACAATAAAACATTTAGAGATATTGAGCCGCAGGCAATTTTTCTCACACCAGGACCCAAGCGCCAGAAGATCTTGCTGCAATAGACGTGCATCAGAAGGGGAGTCAATGCGTTTAAATAATTTTAGGTCGTCAGCATATAATAAGAAATTACTATATTTAAGATAACTGGATATGTCATTGATAAATAAAACAAATAAGAGAGGCCCAAGATGCGATCCCTGCGGCACTCCCGACGCCACAGCAAAATCTCTTGATTATGGTTAAAGTACTTTACCACTTGAGTCCTGTTAGTGAGGAAGCTTAATATCCATCGCAAAAGAGAGCCATCGAACCCTAGGGTCCGAAGTTTCCCAATTAAAATAGAATGATCAACAGTGTCAAATGCCTTCCTAAAGTCTGTGTAAACAGAGTCAACCTGAGATCCGTTTTCAATAGCAGATGTTAAATAATTGCAGTAGTTGACAAGGTTGGTTGTCGTGGATCTACCGGGCATAAATTCGTGTTGTTCTGTTAATGACATTTCTGCAAAGTGAGCTGAGCTTTTTAGCAATAATTCCTTCAAAAATCTTAGGCATGATATTCTGTTTACAGATAGGCCGATAATTAGTGACTAACTGTCGGTCACCTCCCTTAAAGACAGGAGTGACAAGGCATCGTTTCCAGCACAATGGGAAGATGCCATTCTTTAATGAATAATTAAAGATAAGCCATAGAATTCTGGCAAATACAAAGATACATGACTTTAGAAACAGTGCCGGAATGCCATCCGCACCAGCAGTGCAGCTCAGCGAAAGATTATCGATCTCTTTGTAGACCTCGCCAATGGTAATGTCCAGAGATAATAGATCCAAGGAATGATTTAGGTTCAAGTTAACCCGACATGCGCTATCAGTTCCACTGCTAGTGTAGACGGATTCGAAATAATCCGCAAAGCAATTTGCGATAGTGACCTTATCATCCAGTAATCTATTTTCATGTAGAATGTGAGAAGCCCGAGGCTCAGCCGTTTTTACATTTTTTATAAATTTCCAGAAAAGATTTGGGTCGTTCGCCAGTGTGCACTCTGTTGTATTAATAAAATTATTCCAGCACGTTGAGGACAGAGATTTGCATTTAACTCTAAGATGAGAGAAAACCATGTAGTCGGCGAACGAATTTGTATATTTGTATTTTCGATGCGCTGCTTTCTTTGCTCTGATGATAGAGATAAGTTCTTTGGAGAACCAGGCAGGATAAGATGATTTAACATACACATGAGAAGGCACAAATGTAGAAATGGAGTATTTAAGATGATGGTGAAGGAATTCAGTTGCCTCGTCAACAGACAATTCAGATATGGCGAGGTCCCAATCAATATGGCCCAGATAATCGTTTATGGCATCATAATCCGCACGCTCAAAGCAGAGTCTGGATGATGATTCGGAATTTTGACGTATAGGAGCAGAGAGAGGCAACATAAGCTGAAGAGCAGGATGGTACTCATCACATGGAACAAGGGCATCATGGGCGGAATAAACATGTATGTCGGTCAAAGATGAAAACACGAGATCCAGTATATGGCCCCTTGTATTTTTTATAAAGTTATGCTGCTGAACATTACATAGACTGAGGTACTCTTCTATGATATTGGCCCGCCAAGAATGTGAATTGTCTAAAATACACACTCCATTAGAGTCCCAGCTCAGATTCGGCAAGTTAAAATCGCCTAAAGTGATGATTTTAGCATTTGGAAAAGATCGCCAGGCTTCCATCATGCTTACGCAGTGGGATTCATAGGTGTCAGGGGAGGAGTTTGGGGGGATATAAACAGCTATAATAATAACACTGACAAAACCGATTTTGAGTTCGACAATAAGATGTTCAATGTCGCGCGTCACTGGATCAACAGTGCGACAGTAAAAACAGTCGCGAACGGCGATCAGGACACACCCACCCCTCGAACATTTACTAGTGTGCTCATCTCTATCACAACGGAATATTTTGAAATTTTCGAGACCTAATTCGGCGTCGGATATGGTCGAGTTTAGCCATGTTTCGGTTAATATAATTATATCTAAATTTTGCACAAGAGAGGCAATTGAACAACGCAGATCAGACAACTTCGTTCTCAGCCCTCTCACATTCTGGTAGTATACTAGAGGGTTATAGTTCCGTTTTTTGAGCGGGCATTTGACGCCTTGACTATCTTCGGTGCACCATTTACGTATCACATTACGTATTACAATGGCGCGATCATGATGGAATTCGTGGGACTCAGAGCGAAAATGTATGCGTTGCGAGTCGATGGTAAGAAGGATACGAAGAAGGCGAAAGGTGTCAAAAGTAATGTAGTAGCGCGAACAATATCTTTTGATGATTACACACATTGTCTGCGAGACGAGATCGAGATGACGCGTCAGCAGTCGTGTATACGATCGAAGCTGCATCAAGTGTACACTATATCCGAGACTACAATCGCTCTGAGTCCATACGACGACAAACGATACGTCATGCCTGACTCGACCGACACATTACCATGGGGGGACATTACCAGATACCTCTATAATATATTTACAGTATTATTGTACATTGTAGATTAGTAATTATTACAAGTATATGTTTATTCACATGTAAAATAAATGATGCATCTGTATATGTATATATGCCTTTAATATATTCTTATACATGTTTAATAGAATAAATACATTCTTCAAAAATTAAAGCATATTGTTCTTGTCTATCCACGAGTTATGCGATCCAGCGAATCCTAACCATTTCACATAAACCTTGTCACCCTTCCTGCGCAGCACTTTTTCTACGAGATACACATCCGGATAAGTCGCGCGATGCAACTCGTACTCGTAGAATGCTCCAGCGATGGGTTCTCCACGATAATCCTCGAGTAGATACGTTACGGGAGTGGTGCGCTGTACTGTAACGATTTTAAACACCTCGGTGGTCCAATTTGGTGTATAACCTTTCTCAAACACCGTCTTGTATCTGCTAACGCGTACCGCGTCACCCACTTTGAACTTTGCCGAACCAGCGATTTTTATGTGGCTGTACACCGTTTTCAGGAGCCTGTTAGCAACCATAGGGGTAACGTCGACGGGTCGCATGCCGATGGTCCTGTGCTTGCATGCGTTGTACTCTGCAATGAGTCGCGGTAATAAATCTATCCACTTGTAACTTCCATTGAGTGTAAACATCTTCCACATGGCGTTCTTCAATGTGCGATTGAACCGCTCGATGACTGACGCTTTCAATACGGAATACGTGGAATAGAGATTGATGTTGTGTTTCTTCAAAAGTCGTTGCACGTCGCCGTTGTAAAATTCTTTCCCCATAGTAGGGGTATATAGGGATTTCTAACCCAGGAGCTCCGAGGGGGGCGCGGGGCGCGGGGAGTACTCCGTGGCGAGGGGGAGTGTGGTGGGGAGGGTACTCCGCGGCGAGGAGACCGCGATCTAGATGCTGACCGGTCATTTTTGACACCTGGACGGGTATGAGTCACGGGGTCAAGCGTCGAAACCTGGCTGATGACTTTCTTATCAAGGTGAACGATGTCGAGGAGTTCCGCGTTTATTATTCCGCAGCGCTTGGCTATCCGCGGGGCGCGGGGAGGTCCGCGGCGCGAGGCAATCCGCGACACATGCATGTAATAGATATCATCAGAGATGCCTTTGATTAGCGCCGATACCACAGCTGCGCGCATCCATGGCATGAGTCGCGGGGTCAAGCGCCGAAACCTGGCTGTT